ATAGATAGATTAGATAGACGGATAGATACATGGACAGATTTTGTAGTGACAGAAATGTCACTAGAATCTACCTGAAGAGCAAAATAAATAAATAAATAAATAATTTAAATACTTTGTTGTTTTTAATGTAGCCATACTTAACTTGATCTTATATATAGAATTAAAAGGTTACAGGATTTGTTTCTATTTAAAAGTAGAAAAAAACACTAAATTACTTTGTACACAGTGCAGAAAACCACCGCATTGGTGTAAAAGTATCTTATTGTGCCTTCCAATAATTAAATCTCCACATTTTCCACTTATCTTGAACACTCAAAAGACCACACATTTATTGTGTGTACCATTTAGAGACCGTACTCTCCAGATACATTTCAAAAGTCCTGTATAATCTGTAGTATTTTGATATGTAAACTTGATTATTTGTTGAATTCATAAAACATCTAAGAAATAATACTGCATTACAAACGTTAAAGCCCTTTCAGTTATGTTTATGTGTAATTCCAGTCTAGTTGTTTTCCAACACAGCTGTTGCAATCCAACTCACTTCAAGTTTACCTTCTAAAACATCTGTATGTCATTTACTGCAGGAATTTCCTAGGCACCATGTCAAGTTTAATCTTCCCTTCAACTAATACAGTTGTCTGGTGAGTTATTTCAATATCCGTTCTATTTGAAATCAATTCTGTTAAAATTAATCCCTTGAAGCTCCATTGTGCTTGTATTGATTGCCTTGCTTTGAGTTCTTCTTGCTTTGTTTTTAGAAGTCATAATAAACTGAGAACCCTGACCGAAAGGAATTCTGTGTGCTTATTGTTGTTTGGTCTCTTCATAAGGAGGCACTGGCTCCTGAAATTGCTGAACATGGTCCTCTTCCATGGATGCCTTCATGGTGGCTTCCTCATATGACGGAGGCAGGCATACAGCGAGAAAGGCAGTTTCAGGCAAGAGGGTGGAGTATTGGAATCTCTGCTCATTGTTCCAAGGCAGCACAGAGAGAAAATCTGTCACCTCATGCTCCGGAAGGGACTCTGGCAAGTCAATGCTGAAGATCTGAGCCTGAGGACTGTGACGCTGGCAACGTCTGTAGAGGAAGAGCAACAGGAAGGCCAGGAAGAGCATCACGGTAGCCGGTAATATGATGCATAGGAATGGCTCTATGTCTTCTTTGGTTGAACTTGCTTTATGCTGACTCTAGGAGAAACCAAGAGAAGAATGTGCATCAGGCCTTTGCCAATTTCGTTTTATGTGCATCCTGTCTTTCATAAAAACATCATCTCAATGCAGATAGACAGCAGTATCAAAACAGCCTAAACCCATAGAAATAAGCAAATTATAAAGCATAAATACAGTTCTAATAGAATGTGCCGTTTTGCAGAGTGTGCACAACTGAGCAATTATACTGTCCTCCAATCAGGTTCTCACTGCACTTATAAAATGCCTCTACCTAAGGGCTAATCCATCTCTCTTCTTGAAGCCTCGGAGACAGATTGGCACTTACTACTGTCCCCCATCACTCAGGAAAACCTTATTATGGAAGTTCAGAGCCTGTTTGAAAATAGCAAGTATAAAGACTCTGTAGTCCCAAAGGTGCTTTTTCAAGAGGCAACTGGACTTTCTGTTTTTTCTTTGAAGATGTTTCACTTCTCATCCAAGAAGCTTCTTAAGCTCTGACTGGATGGTGAGTCAGAGCTGAAGAAGCTTCTTGGATGAGAAGTGAAACGACTTCAAAGAAAAACCAGAAAGTCCAGATGCCTCTTAAAAAAGCACCTTTGGGACAATGATGAGGATGACTGAGAATCTCCATAGACAAAAACTCTGTAGCCTCCTTTTCTATGCCAATAATTATCTCCATCAAAACCCAAAATGATTGATTATATCTAATGTTTTCTTCTGCCATTAGGAACAATTCTCGACAAGAGTTCTTTTAATTACATCTCATAAAATGGGAGGTTAGACAGGAGGTATCCTACAGAACCACCTCTTAACCTCCCATATCAGTTGGATAGCAACTGTTTCCCTGTACGGCTCTCAGAGGGCTGATTTAGCAACTCAGTGACTGGGATTTTTTAAAAAT